CACTATATACATAAATACATATATACAAAAATAATTGTCTATTTCAGTCCATTCCAACCGAACTGGATAAAACAGGTCTGATCTTTGATTCTAATATCCCTTTTAATTCGGTAATTCAATCTAATTTAGTCTATTCTAACTTATCCGATTCCGTCCAACCAGATGTAATTTAGTCTGATTCCTAATTGATGATCACCCTATGCGAGATAATCATATAAAATAGTGAAAGCAAAGCAGTCCCGTTGGAGGGGAATAGAGTAAAACTCCGGAATAGCACACATATTCAAAGCCCTAATCAGGCAAGGGGTCAGGGAAGTTATCAACAGTTTCCCTGCTTAAAGTACCTGTCAAATTTCTTCAGCAAGAAAATAAGTACCTGCCGAAAATTATCCACTACATCCTATTTGACAGTTATATTGACCACCCTGTATGTTCAATTTTACCATCCTCCAAACCACAAAAGATGCCAAACATAGAAGGACTTCAATTTGATTAATCTGAACAATAAAAAATGAGTTTTCCAACATAATTAAATCCACCTAACTGCATAACTATGTAGGCACGATGCCATCATCTTGGACATGAATTTAACCTGTTGGAGTCTAAAAACTTATTTTCCTACAGACTAATGAAATCATACTTCAACTGGATGCATGTACTCAGGACTGTTTAACCTTCAGAAGATAAAATAAAGTTCCACTGTTCTAGTTTTCACACTTGCAGTGATCCTGACTCCATAGCACACCTGACTCTGATGCAGCCACTGGAAATTAAGTCTGCAGTAAAAATGATAGACTTCAACTTGAATCCCTTTGCAACACCTGATGGTACCAAAAAATCCTTACCCTTTGTACATATTGGCCAAGCACATAAGACAAACCTGCTGTGAGTAAATCATATAATTAAACACTCCCTTTTTACCAGATCAAGTATACAGATATAATTAAAAATATAATAAAAACTTCAAAGAGATGTGAAACTAAGTCTCTGTTCAAAACAAATTAACCATCTTTCTTTCAAGTGGAAAGGGAACCATCATTTCCAATTCCAAACACTTGAAAATTCATTTAAAGCTAAATTTTCATCCTCCAAAAGTTAAACTAAAAATATATTTTTCAAATGAATTCCAAAAAAAAGTCCATTTATTGTGAACATACCCTAAAACTGAAAAGGTGACTTCAGCTATTTTATAAAAACCAGTTAAGTAATTTTCAGACCCAGAGAGAAATTAGTTCTGTTTGGACAAGGCACAGAAATATCCTGACCAAACAAGAAAAATTTATCAGAAAGCTAAAATGAACTAAAATGAATCAAGTAGCTTCTATGTCTTATGATCTATGCTTAAATTAAATGCCAACAAAATGTTTAACAGCACCCGAGAACAGTCAAGAGCACATTAACATAAGAACCAAGTAAACCCAAGCAAAATAGATTTAGGTCAAATCCAAATAAAAAGTACCTATTCTGTGAAAACGCTCATGAGATCAGTTGAAGGAAATTGTTGCAATACTCCCGTGCCCACTTTTGCATTATCCACAAATTCCATATTGGGTTCTGGCTTCATCCGAACACCATTATTCTCCACAAAAGCTTTTCCATGGCTTAAATTGTTCATTGGTGATTCAAATTCATCTACTGCAAACCGACTTGGAATGCAAGTTCCGTTACCAACAAATCCAAGATTTCCAAGTGATCTTTGATCAATCATTTCATTTGGCTTATCAACATAGGAACAGACATTAGGAACAAGTGCTGGCATTGTCTGGAAGTTTTAAATGGGATAGTTGAGTTTCGAAGTTGCTGATGGCCGCTATTTTCAGCATATGCTGAAATAGATGATGCTGCAGCAGAAATAGAACCAGGTGCTGAGTACCCGCTAAGAACACCAGAGGTCCTTAGATCCGCATCTGGGATTTGTCCCATAGTGAATGATGAATTACTTGACTGAGGTGAGAGAAGGGTGTAATCAATAATAGCAGTCCTATTCACACAATTCGGATTTACAGAAGCAGGACTATTTCCTGCCTGAAAACTGGTTGCTGACTGAGAAGGCATCACAAGGCAAGATGGTTGAACATTGATAGAGCGATTGGCGTCAGGGAATGCAGATTGCTGCTGCTGTTTTTGTTGTTGCAGGTGCTGCTGCTGCTCCAACACATCCATCAACATGTTACTGTTATGAGAACTCAACCCTCCAAGATTGCTTCCATGTCCAACAGCAACAAGATTATTATTTGATGGCCATGCTCCAAGTTCCGGAGGAACATCCCCAGCAGGCATTATAGACTGCTGATAATGTTTGGGAATGTTAGATTGACATTTCACTAAGGGCTGACCGAATGCCACACCATGCTCAACTGGAATGCACTTGGGCCCCTGCAGAGATGCTTGTAAGAGAGGAGGTTGGTCCACTGCCGAAACTAGGTTACCTGCTGGTCGACCTAAAAGCTCTGCATGCAGTGCAGCTAATGTTTGTGGAGGAATTTGCCCAGAGGCAGCCAAAGCTTGAATGTCATATCTTCCCAGAGAAGCAAGTTTTACATTGGATTCTATGTTACCACAAAGTGGACTTGAAATCCCTCCTTGTTGGGCCACTCCACTCAATCTCTTCAAATATAATCTAAATTTCTGCAAAGTTATGTAATATATTTCAGTATTTACATAAATGTAAAATATATTTCAGAGAATCATAATTTTAAATGAAACATCTGATTTTCAAAAATAGTAATTGCATGCTACTAGTGAAAATTTAAAGTGGCAAGAGCTTCTGCCTTTAATTGATGCATCTTGTTATGATCTACCCAAAAAAGGACCTCCATTACTATCCAAAAAAATCCCCGTGGTCGCATCCAGCCAACCAAAACTAAAATGTTCTTCATAAGAAAATTGTAACGAACAGTTTCACAGTAAAGTTTGTTTTTCAACCAAGCTTCAGAAAAATGTTAATAATTCCTAACAATACAACCATTCAACAGGCTTCCTTTCAAGAAGAAGTAGTGTTGGTTGGATATGCTGCCACTGCCAGGCAGAAATGGCTCAGACCATCGTCCAACACAAGTCCAATTTTGACATGGACTATGATTTGAAAAAAGAACCAACACAACAGCCAAGTTTCAAGAATAAGGGTACCTAGAAACATAGCAATCCTATTTCCTCAATGCTTCTAACTAAACCTTACGCAACTTCATGCATTTTCCTTCATTGATCTTCAGACATAATATAATTACAAGGAACTGAAATGATAAAAAATACTTTTTCTTCATATAAATTTAACCCAAATATTGCTGATGCCTATCCAAGTCATTCATTTAGTGATCACTGATTCTATACTCTTGATGATGATAGGGTTAAAGCAGAGAGACATATTTAAACAAACAAGACTATCACAAAGTACAAACCTGCAAATGACTTGCAACATTTTCTCTGGTCAAGCCAGGAACATTCATCAATTCAAGAATCCTCTTCGGTACAGCCTCTGCAATTGTAGCCACAGTTATAATCAGCAATAATGGAAAGAGGAAATCAGGAAGAATAAGTCACAAATTACAAAGCCCCATGTGCAGTCAACATAATGCAGAATTAAATAAAAGAATAAATTGTTGTGAGCGTACTATCAATCCCAAGCTGGTTAACAGCAGTAACAAATTGCTGATGGAGTTCCACTGACCACACTACACGTGGCTTCTTTGCCGTGGACGGATCTTCATTCTCCAGTTCACCATCATCTTCTTCTTTAGCATTTGTCCTCTTTTTCTGAGGTTTAACTGTTCCTTCTGCTCCATCATTGACAGAAGAAGTATATTCAGAGTCATCATTTCCTCGCTTATGCCGATCATTATCTTCCAGGCTGCAAGAATTTTCTAGCTCTTTGTTTTCGTTCCACTTTTTCCGGACAACATGCTGCCATATATTTTTAAGTTCTTCCTCACGGATAGGCTTAATCAAGTAATCACAAGCCCCATGTTTTATTCCCCTCATGACAGCACTTGTTCTCCCATCATCCGACATCACTAGAGACAGAAATATCTTGGTCATGCAAACAACTTAAGATTATCATTAGAAGAAAACCTCATCATAAGTAAAACAATACTCACTAATAACAGGAAGGTCCATTTCCAACCCAACATGTTCAAGCAGTTTAAACCCGTCCATATCAGGCATATGAACATCACATAGAACCACATCAAAACAGCCTTTCTTCTCCCGCAGAAGGGTCAAGGCAACCTTAGCCTGTGAGCTAGTGGTAACTGCAGCCAATGAAGGCAACCATGTCAAGAGATACGAGCAACAGGTAAGCTCATTGCTTTTACATTTTTACACTTATGTTTCGTCTCTCGTCAAAAGTAGGGAAAAAAAATCAAATATCACGCAAGTTACTTGGAAGGAAAAGTCATTACAAATTCAAGCTTTCAGAAAGTAAAGCTATCACTTGAATTTGCTTTTCATCCTTAAGCTTTTTCCTTTTTTTAATCACAGAATAATACTTTAGGATGTTAAGGTTAAACATCAATTATTTTACACAACACTGTGAACGCCTTGTCTGAACACCTTGTCTGGTTAGTTAAAAGTAAGAAATGGTTCATTACTCTTGAAGCAACGCAGAATGTAGAAAAAGGATGTCGATAGGAACTTAAAAACTAAATCTCATGAACAACAATCCAGTATGAATCGAAGCCGTTAATAATACTTCTTTCTAATAATTTAAAAAGAAAGCGGTAACAAGTCAACGGTGTCTAGGTCTTCTAGGAACATCTCACGGACACGAAACACACACAATCCAACCAACAAAACAAAAAAATATATATAAAGACGTGATTTATGCCTTCAAAATGACCACTGCTAACAATTGCCGCAATTCACACGCTTCACAAGAAGCACATAATAAAAGTAATTAGGGCCCTTTATTAATTGGATAATTCATAATTCGTCCATTCTGAAAATACTACTTCAACCCCAAGGAGTTCACTCCATTTCGGCGGAAAACCCACTGTATCAATGATAAGAAAAAAAAAAAGATGAATAAATAAAGGCTGAGAATGCGGTGACTAACCATAATACTGGCAACGGCGAAGCATCTGCTCGACAATACGCAAGCAGGTAGCATCATCATCTACGACAAGGACTCTCAAACCAGCAGGAAATTTATCAGGGACAACAACTTCAGTACCTTTACACGTTCCATAACTGAGAGCACTGGCGCTGGCGCTCGACTCAGCTACTCTCTGCAAAGCAGCCATAGTCAATAAGCAAAGACAAGGTTAACACGCAACCGGTTTGTTTTCTCGCAGTCAACAACTAAACCGTATAGTCTATGTCTCTGTGCCTCACCGAGCCGGGTATCTGCATAAAAGTGAAAATTGACATGTTGAATATGGAGATAAGGTCAACTTATTAGGTAAAGAGAAACCCTAGGATTAAGGGATAGAGAGAGAAATCAAATGAAAACTGAGTGATTTAAAGGATCTGATCTGCGAGGAAAATGAGAGGATTGCTAGGTTATAGATGCTGAATTTTGGGATGTAAAGCTTCTATAGATGATTGACTGGAGCGTCTAGTCCTTGTTACTTAGGACACGGAGAAGGTGAAGATCATGGGATGAATAAATATACACGGAGGAGAGTTCTTAAATGCGGAAAAAAAACATTAGCATTGATTTCGTCCGCTCTTGAAAATCTACAGTCTTATAATCTTTATAACGGAGATTTCTTACCATTTCTTTTTTTTTTTTCTCTTTTGAAATCAATAAATTAGGGATGCTAATTAATAATTTTTTTTTTATCATTTCATAAGAGTAAAGTCATATTAATTAGTACAGATATCATACTATAAATTTATATAGACATTTATAAGTGCAGATTAGTACAAGAAGTTTTTCTTATCAATAAATTAATGTGCCACATGTAAATATTTAATCTGTTTTATTTCAAACAGCGAAATTTTTCTATTTAAAATTTAAAAAAATTACGAGTAACTAAAATAAAATAAGAAAATATTGCATGAAATACACATAAAAGTATTTAAATATAATTTTTTATTATTTAAATAATAAGAAATAAACATGTTAATATATTTATTTATATATGATATAAAATTTAGTAACAGTTTCATATAGAAAACGTAATTAACTTCTTCAAATGAAATAGAATGACGCAATCAATAACAATATGAGAATGTTATGATAATATTATATGCATGACGAAATAAGATCATTGAAACTTGCCTCTATTACTAATTTTCTAAATGTAAGTATTTATGCTGATTTATTTTAAATAATTTAATTTTTTATTTAAAATTTAAAAAAATTATGAATAATTAAAATAAAATAAAAATATATTGCATGAAATACGTGTTAAAATATTAATATAAAATTATCTAATTCGTCGATTATTTATTTTAAATATAATTTTTTATTATTTAAAAAAATAAAAAATAAATATATCAATATATTTATTTATATATAATATAAAATTTAGTAATAATTTCATATAAACAACGTGATTAACTTTTTCAAATAAAATAAAATGACGCAATCAATAATAATATGAGAACGTTGTGAGAATATTACATGCATGACGAGATAAGATCATTGAAACTTATCTCGATTGCCAATTTTTAAATTCAAGTTATGCATGTGTTATAAAAAACCACTTAATTCCATTTTTGTCTTTGACTATTAAAAAACTTAATTCCATTTTTGGTCTTTGACTATTCACACTCTTTTCTATTTTGACCTTGAACTTTGAAATCTTTAGGTTCATGAATTGACATCTTAATTTATTTATAATTAAGTATTTCTATTCTAATATATTTTTAATGATATACTTACTACAATAATACCACATTACATTCATGTCCTTGCAATTTGATGACATGGCGCCAGGTTATATCTATTCAATATTATTATACTCATATTAATTTTTTTTTCATTTTGATTTTCATTATTTAGTTTGTAAAGAACCTCTCAACCCTTTTATTTTTAAAAATTACTTTAAACATTTATCTTATAATCTATATAAGATAATAACTAATATTTTATTTTTATAAAATTTATAATAATTTTTAAATAATAAATTCAAATATTATGGTTCGCATGTAAATTCATTGAACATTAAAATTATTCAACTAGATTAAGATTCATGAACTCTTTTAACTAATTCATATGCACCTAGCACTATGTAACATTTGATATTACTATTTAGTGAAACAAAATAAAGATTGATTAATTTAAAATTAATTGACTCTTCAAATACTAATTTAGATATTCAATATGCTTTATTAGGAACTAAAAAATAGTGAAGTAGATAACATACATTCATTCTTATCAAAATTCTTTAATCAACAAGGTTTTCGATGCAATATCAACACCAAAACTCAAATACCATAATTTGAGTCTTTTAAAGGGTTTCATCATGCAAACAAATTAATATTACGCCATAAATTCTTCTAATATCAGATAAAAATACATAAGCAATTCCCTTGTAAATGATAGTACAAGGCAAAATGAATTCGTCCTTCTCAATCTCTTACTCTTTTTTTTTTCTTTTAAACATCTATAACCATTAGAATTTTCATATGTCAAATTTTACATAAATTAATTATTATCATTCCAATAACATTACAAAAGTACATTAAAGTGACTACAAATTAAGTCTAAATTAGAAATCAGTTCTCAAAGTTTATTTAGTAGTATAAAAAATTCTCTAGCAAATTTAAATTCACAACAAATTACGGTCATATGTATTTTACTTTTACTTCTTTGATATCTTTTTCATTAGTAGTTGTAAAAGCCTGAAATATTAAAGAAATAAATATATATTAAAATAGTATAAACAAATAATAATTAGAGTTTACATTCTTTATACAATAATTTGGGATGTCCAATAAAGTTTTGAAAATGTCCCTAAAAATAGTTAAATAATAAAAACATAAATGAAGCTAAAATTTTATGGAGTTAACCTCTACTAGCAACTTTGACGAGGTCCGAAAGGTAACTTTTACTCGTAATCATCATGTTATTTAGGATCTAGATCTTAATCTTTTTACTCTAAAATGGTTAAATAGGGGGATGAACTACACTAGTTCAGTAAGAATATCACACTAATCACTGACACGGAAAATTGAATGTTGATAAAAATTATAAAATAACTAATGCAATCATTTACTTTCTTAAATAAATTCATTTAACATAAAATCATTTATTCTATATTTACCGTTATGAGCTTTCAAAATTGACCTATGAGGACAATAACTCAAATAACATTATAATTTCATATATAAGTGAGCAAGAACAATAATTTTTCTTTTTACCTGCTTACTGGTACATCTGAGGGTCTATAGGGATATCTCCCCTACATGTAAACTCAATATCCAAATTTGTTAAGCAATCGATCGTTCTCATAACTCGTTCGGTAATGAGCGCCAAACATACAATCATCTCAATATCCCGTCCGGTATGAGAGTGAACTATATTTTTCAAACTCTTTCGGTATAGGACTTTCCAGTCCCGTCTGATTGATGTAACGTTCACAGTAGAATTTTTTTTATGTGTCAAGTCCATCAATCCTTTTCCACGATACCCAGTAATCTTTTATATATAGATTTGCATTATCAACCAATTCTCAATTATATATCAGTATCTCATATTTACCAATCAATAATAAACTATGCAAAGAGACTGTACATAAGTCAAAATAACATAATTGAGACACTTATTGCAAACGAACCAACAATTGGGGTTATGCAGTTAAATAAACTAAATAACCGAGAAGGTAATAGAAAGTAGCAATTTAACACACACAACATAATAGTAAGTATTTTATGTTGTATAAGAGAAACTAAACAAAAAACTAGGACGAACATGTACTGATCGGTTCTGACTTCACTAGTAATCTGTAATTAATTTTAGATTTTATAAAATATAATATTATTGATTATTAAGTCTCAGTTTACCGTAACAAGAAAAATGGTAAAAGATTCTTACCCCAGATCGATGTTCGAAATACTATACTATCTACTATGTTTCTTGACAGTTTTCGGGTTTCTTCGATTTTTTTATGTAAAATTAAAAGCACCCATCAAGTATATAACAATACCCCAAAAGGTCAAAATAGACATTTAAAAACTTTTTCAGCAAATTTTAGGATTCGGCATAGTGGTGGTTCTCCTTGGCTTGGCTAGTTTCGACTAGTTTTGGCTGATTTTACGCTTAAACTTGCGAAAAAAATAGGTTAGGAAGCCTCGATTGACCGAAAAAAATAAAAATTGAAACCTACTGGCGGGGGGATATCCGGGTGCGATAATTCCACCGGTTCTCTTTAGCGACTGAGGTTCCTCTTCAATTAACTTGCACTAGAAAAGGATGGAGAACACGGTGATCAAAATATTACGTGAAACGGAAAACGAGAAAAAGGTCATTGGAGAGGATTTTAGATTTTGGTCACAACGACTTGATCGGGCTTTACCCGCAGTTTTTAGCTCATCCGTCAATCTATTAGCTCTGATATGAGTATAGGGAGACTTGGGATTGAATTCTTAGCGGGAAGGGAAACAAATACTTGTTTTGGCTTCGACGGTGGCTTCGGTGCGGCAGCGACGGTGGTCGGCCTCCTTCTCCAGCGTCTGGTTCTTTTTTTTACCACCTTTCTTCTTATTCTCCAGTCACCCCTCTGTCAGATAGGGTTTTGATTCCCTGCGAAGAGGAGTTTAAATACTCTCCTCCATTCAATCCAGATCGCTCATTTGAATCAAAGTGGAGTGAGGATGATCGTTCGATGATTTTTCATTTAGGCTGATTGCTTGAACGAATCTGAGCCGTCCATCGCAATTAACCTCATCCGTCTGATCACACCTGAAGAGAAAATGTATCTGAGTCCTCTATACACACGAGATGTGATCTGGACCATCAAATCGTCAAGCACACGGATCGCTTGCATGGCCTCCCGCGTGGTGCTGATATCAGCGTGTTTGCCAAGCAGCATGCTCTGGTTCGCTATGGCTTCTAACCAGGTCGTCCTACGTAGCCAAACTTTCTATTTTTATGATGTTACATCTTGTTTTTAAATTTTCTTTCAAAAACACTCATCTTATTCTCAATTTCATCTATTTTTTTCAAAATTATTTTTAATTTCGTCCATAATTTATTTTTTTTTAAAAATTTAAATAAAAATAAAAAGTTTTAATTATTTATATATATTTTGTAAATGAAAAAAATTATCTAAGGTCAAATTCCAGTTCCAGGTGTTACAATAGTATTCACTTCATTGATTCTATTTTTGTTGTTATTACTTATACTGCTATTGTCTAGTTCATCTAATTGTTGTTATTTTGTTGATCCTCTTACTTTTCTATTTTCGTTATTTTTTTAATATCTATTTTTCATTATTAATCATAACTTTCTTTTTCTATTGCTTCTTCTACTACTTTATGAATTCATTTGTAGGTTTTTTTTTTTGTTTTTTGTTTATTTTGATTTATTCAAGTATTTTTAAGAAATCATTTTTTTTTTCTCATACCAATTCATTAAGTTGTTTAAGCTTAGACTTCAAGCTTCACTTATCTTACCATCTTTATTCTTTTTCTTTTTTTTTTTTCATTGTTTGTTATGGTTGATGGTTATCCTTTTACTATTTTTTTATATATTTTTTCTATAATTTCTATTTACCTATTAAAGTACAAAGAAAGGCATGCAAGAACGAAATTTTTTAGGTTAAAAATGTACTCTAAAGGACGTGTTATCATTTTAATCCTCTAATTATGATCGATTAGATACTTTAATTGTAAAAATGTTTTACATAGAAATTTAGTCGTTGAATTATAAAAATATTGTTATAGAAATTTAGTAGTCGAATTTTTAGATTCATTTTAAATGCATTGACTAAATCTAATTTTTAACAAAAAAAAAGCACTTGTTCAGTTTTTTCCATACATATCGAAATAAATATTTTGTTCATTTTATTTCAAAAATTAAAGGGAATCGCTTTTTATCCTATTATGGATAGAATTATATACCATTTTTATCCAACATCCTACATGTTTCACTATGTTGTAGTCTTTTAGATTGTTGACTTGTTGTAGATGCTGAAAATAAAATGAGAGAGTCTTTCAACCTTTTGTACTTTTCCTTCATTTTTTTTTTCTTAAATAAAAAAAAATTATTGTGTATAGTTTATTTGTTTAAATTAGATTTTTATATCGCGTAACACATTGTTTTTTAATGTAAAAAATTAACTTATAATGCATAATTTATAATTAATTAAAATTAAACATTTATTTATATTTTTAAAAAAATAAATAAATAACTATTATATAAATCACTGAAATTATTTTTATATCTAAATATTATGTAGTGTGTAATTTACAATTAATTAAAAATTAAATTTTATTTTTATATTTAAAATTTTAAATAGATAATTATTATATATATATATATTATTACATTAAGTTTATTTTTATATTTTAAAAAGTAAATAAGTAATAGTGTATAGAATTTTATCTTAATATATAATTTGAATTAGAATTAACATATTATCTTTATTTTTTATTTTTTTAAAATTAACGTTTACCTTTTTTGATATTGCTTCTATATACAAATATATAAATTCGATAATATTTATTTATTTGTTTAAACCCTTAGAGAGAAACGCGCGGCTTCTTCATTCATTTCGGCTGTATCCTTTGCTCTGCATTTTAATCTGTTGCCTTACGTCGAACCAGTTAGGAGAGAAATGGGCTACGCTATCCTCACCAGCCAACCAAACCTGTTTTCTCACGGCCGAAGACGTCTCTTCGCGACAGGATTTTGCCTAACATCACCATTATCTCCGCCGTGAAAGTTATGAAGCTGAGCAAACAAGAGGCTTTTTCAAGCAGAAGCCCGTGCGATGCGAGGAGGAAAGTGAGATACGATGAGGAGATCGCGATGCTGGAATTATATTGTTCAAGCACTTGTGGACGAGCAAGAAGTAGAAGTGCTTATATTTAAGGTGAGTTCTTATTTAGAGAAAAGCATTAAGCGTCTATTTTCTGATAATTTAAGTTGTAATTTCTTTCGAATTATTTTATTGAACTGTAAATTTACAAGAACCTAGGCTATGTTCCAAATCAAAATAGAAGAACTATTTATTATGATCTTTCTTATCCAAAACTATTGCAAGCTGCATATGAAAATTTGAATTTCTTTTTTCAATCCAATAATTCCACCACTCAACATCAACTGTAACTAAGTTTTTATTATTGTAACTTTTAAATATATAATTCAGGGTTTTTCTCGGGCCCCTGCAGAGATGCTTGTAAGAGAGGAGGCTGGCCCAGTGCCGAAACTAGGTCACCTGCTGGTCGACCTAAAAGCTCTGCATGGAGTGCAGCTATTGTTTGTGGAGGAAGTTGTCCGGAGGCTGCCAAAGCTTGAATGTTATATCTTCCCAGAGAAGCAAGTTGTACGTTGGATTCTATGTTACCAGGAAGTGGACTTGAAATCCCTCCCTCTTCAGCTACTCCATTCAATCTCTTCAAATACAATCTATATTTCTGCAAAATTATGTAACAATATCAGCATTTACATAAATTTTAACTCAAATATTGTTGACGCCTATCCAAGTCATACATAAATTTTAGTGGTTACTGATTTTACACTCTTGATGACAATAGGTTTAAAGCAAAGTAACATATTTAAACAAACAAGACTAACACAAAGTACAAACCTGCAAATGACTTGCAACATTTTCTCTGCTCAAGCCAGGAACATTCATCACTTGAAGAATCTTCTTCGGTGCAGCCTCTGCAATTGTAGCCAAAGTAATAAGTCAACATAATGTAAATTAAATAAGAGAAATAAATTGTCGTGATCTTACTATCAATCCCAATCTGGTCAACAGCACTAATAAATTGCTGATGGAGTTCCAATGACCACACTACACGTGGCTTCTTTTCTGTGGATGGATCTTTGTTCTCCACTTCAGCATCACCTTCATCATTAGTATTGGTCCTTTTTTTCTGAGCTTTAACTGTTCCATCATTGGCACAAGTATATTTAGAGTCATCATTTCCTCGCTTATTGCCATCGTTCTCTTCCAGGTTGCCAGAATTTTCAAGCTCTTTGTTTTCGTTCAACTTTTTCCGGACAACATGCTGCCATATATGTTTAAGTTCTTCCTCACGGATAGGCTTAAGCAAGTAATCACAAGCCCCGTGTCTAATTCCGCTCATGACCGTACTTGTTATCCCGTCAGCAGACATCACTGGACATGCAAAACATCTTTGTTCATGCAAACAACTTAAAATCATTATTAGACGGAAACCTCATCATAAATAAAATAATACTCACTAATAACAGGAAGGTCCATTTCAAGCCCAACATGTTCAAGCAGTTTAAACCCGTCCATATCAGGCATATGGACATCACTTATAACCAGATCAAAACAGCCTTTCTTCTCCCGCAGAAGGGTCAACGCAGCCACGGCCTGTGAGCAGGTGGTAACTGCAGCCAATGAAGGCAACCATGTCAATAAGTAGGAGCAACAGGGAGAACACTGTATATTACTTCTGCATTTTTGCACCTATATTTCGTCTCTCATGAAAAAGTGGGGGAAAAAATATCAAATACCTCGAAGTTACTTGGAAGAAATGGTCATTACAAATTCAAGCTTACAGAAAGTAAAGCCATCCACTTGAATTTGCTTCTCATCCTTAAGGTTATTCCTTTTTCTTAACCACAGAATAATACTTTTAAATGTTATGGTCAAACAACAATTATTTTATACAACACTGTCAACGCGTTGTCTGGTTAATTAAAAATAAGAAATGGTTCATTACTCCTGATGCAACGCAGAATGGAGAAAAAGGATGTCGATAGGAACTCAAAAGTTAAATCTCATGAAACAACAATCCAGCATGACTCGAAGCCGCCAATAATAATGGTAATTAGGGTCATTTATTAATTGGAAAATTCAAAATTCCTCCATTCTGAAATACTACTTCAATCCCAAGGAGTTCGCTCCATTTCGGCGGAACACTCACTGAATTAATGATAAAAAAAAAAGATAAATAAATAAAAGGCTAGGATGCGGTGACTAACCACAATAGTTGCAACGGCGAAGAATCTGCTCAGTAATACGCAAGCACGTAATATCATCATCGACGACAAGGACTCTCAAACCGGCAGGAAAGTTGTCGGGGACAACAACTTCAGTACCCTTACACCATTCAAAACTGAAAACGTTGTCGTTGACGCTCGACTCATCTACTATCTGCAAAGCAGCCATGGCTCGATAAGCAAAGACAAGGTTAACACGCAAACGGTTTGTTTCCTCGCAGCCGACAACTAAACTGTATAGTCTATGTCTCTGTTCCTCAATAGCCTGTGTGTCTGCAGAAAAGAGAAAAATTGATGAGTTGAATGTGGAGATAAGATCTATTTATAACGTAAAGAAAAACCCTATGATTACGGGATAGAAAGAGAGATCAAATGAAAACTTAGTGATCTAAAGGTATCTGATCTCACAGGAAAATGAGAGGATTACTAGGGATATAGAGCTTCTTTTAGATGATTGATTGAAGCCTCTAGTCCCTGTTACTTAGGACACAGGGAAGGGGAAGATCACAGGATGAATAAATACACGAAGAGAGTCCTTAAAACAGGAAAAGAACACAGCAGCGATTTCGTCCGCTCCTCTAAATCCATAGTCTTATGATCTTTATGGAGATTTCTTGCCATTTAATTTGTTTTTCTCTTCTTACACCAATAAATTAGGGATGCTCATTATAATTTTTTAATTATATTTCATACAAGTAAAGTTATATTTAATTTGTACAGATATCATACTATAAATTTATAATGACATTTATAAGTGCAGATTAGTACAAGATTTTTTTTTTATCAATAAATTAATGTGCCACATGTGAATTTTTAATCTATTTTATTCCAAATAGCGTAAATTTTATGTTCAAAATTTAGAAAAATTACGAATAACTAAAATAAAATAAGGAAATATTGCATGAAATAAACGTTAAAATAGTAATATAAAATTATCTAATTCGTCGATAGTTTATTTTAAATATAAATTTTTTATTTATTTAAATAAGTAGTAGATAAATATGTTAATATATTCTTTTATATACGATGTAAGATCTAATAACAATTTTATACAAAAAGCGTAATTAATTTTATCAAATAAAAATAAAATGAGGCAATCAAAAACAAAATGAAAACGATGTGAGAATATAACATGTATTACGATATAAGATCGTTGAAACTTAGCCCCTATTACCAATTTTCAAAGTTCAAGTTATATACATATATATATATATTAAAAACACTTAATTCTATTTTTGGTCCTTAGACCATTCAGATTCTTTGTACTTTGACCTTGAACTTTGAAATCTCTGGGTTCATGAATTAACATCTTAATAAATTTATAATTAATTATTTCTATTCTAATACATTTGTAATTGATATACTTTCTACAATAATACCACATTGCATTTATGTCATTATAATTTGATGACATGGTTATATCTATTCAATCTTATTATATTCATTTTAAATCTTTCATTTCGAGTTTTATTATTAAGTGTGTAAACAACCTTTCGACTTTTTATTTATAAAAGATACTTTAAACGTTTAGTTTTAAATTTATATAGAATAATAATTAATATCTTAATTTTATAAAATTTATAATAATTTTTAAACAATAAATTTAAATATTTGTCACGTGATTAATCATCTAGTACATTTATAATTTGTGTAACATCATGGTTGGCATCTAAATTCATTTAATCTTAAAAGTCTTTGTCTTATTAAGGTGTATGAACTATTTAACTAATTTATGTACACCTAACACTATGTAACATTTGATATTACTATTTAATAAAACAAAATAAATTTTGATCAATTTAAAACTGATTGACTCTTCAAACATCAATTTAAATTTTCAATATGCTTTATTATAGACTAAAAAAATAGTAAAGTGGGTAGTGTTCTTTCAGTTTGATCAAAATTCTTTAATCAATCAGGTTTTTGACGCAATATCAGTATTAAAATTTAAACATCATAATTTAAATTTTTTAAAAAATTTCATCATGCAAAACAAATTGATATTATGTCATAAGTTCTTTTGATATCAAATAAAATGCTTAAACAACTTCCTTATAAATGAAAGGACAAGGCAACATGAGTTCACCCTTCTCAACCTCTTCTTATTTTTTTGAGACATTAATAACAATTAAAATCTTATGTATCAAATTTTACCTAAACTAATTATTGTAATCCCAATAACATTACAAAAGTATATTAAAGTGATTACATAAAGAGTCTGAATTATAAATAAATTTTTGAAGTATGTTTAGCAATCTAGAAAATTCTCTAAAAAATTTAAATCAACAACAAATTTTAGCAGTTTGTATTTTACTTCTTCAATATTTTTTTATTACTAATATTCACTTTATTGACTCTCTTTTTTCTTATTATTACTTATACTACCATATTCTATTCATGATCTTTTATCATCTAATTTTTTTAATTATTGTTATTTTTTTTATTTTGTCAGTTTTTTATTATTACTATTTCTTTCATTACATTATGAATTTCTTTTGTAGGTTTGTTTTTTTATTTATTTTGGTTTATTCAAGTTTTTTTTTTTATGAAATCTTTACTTTTTTAATATCAATTCGTTAATTTGTTTAAGTTTATACTTCAAGTTTGACTTATCTTAATATCTTTCTTCTTGTTTTATTGTTTTATGGTTGATGGTTGTTTTGTTACTATTTTCAATATATTTTTCTCATTATTTGGACTTATGTACTAAAAATATAAATAAATATTTGCATGAACCAAATCTTTTACGTTAAAAAGTCACAATAAAGGACATATTATCATTTTAATTCTCTAACTATTGTCCATCACATATTTTAATCGTAAAATTATTTTATATTTTGAATTATTCTTAAAATATTTATATAAGAATTTAGTTACTGAATTTTGGATTTGTTTTGAATGCACTAGAGAGAATCGCTTCTTATCCTATTATCGACATAATTAGAAGTAAAAACACATACCATTTTTATCCAAAATCCTACATATATTAGATTGTTTGCTTGTTGTAAATGTTGAAAATCAAATGAGAAATCTTCTTTCAACCTTTTGTATTTTTTATTTATTTTTTCTTTTTAAAAAATCTAATCACTACATTAGACTAATTTAGTCTTCTTCAAAAAATTCAAATCTCTAAAAATCATTAGAATAAATAAAATTTGGCATAGATTCGGGACTCGCAATAATTTTATTGGGTTAGGCTAAGATTTTATAATTCAAACATCAATTTAAATTTTCAATAAGCT